CCGGTACTGTTCACTTTAACGAAAAACCACATTTTTACATTAAAAAGTCAATCCTGGTACTATTTACTTTACCTTTTATTTTGTCCTTATCATTAAAACTCAAAGTTTTCAAGCCATTTTCATTAGTTTTCCTAATAAAAATCTATTGGAAAAGAAATGTAGCTGAAAAGTCTGTCAACTTATGGAAATTATTATATAAATAATAAAGCCATATTTGGTACTCTACTTGAATCCAACCTTTTAAACTCAAAAATAATTTTCAAATTTTAAGCCTTAAAAACTTGTTTGGTAGGATTATTTGCAAAAACTGAACTTAAGACTAATTCAAAAATATAGTCTATTCTCTAAAAATATAAAAATTGAGTTTTTAGAGTTTTAAACTTAAACTCACTCATTTTTTCCCCTCCCTCCTCCCCTTTTACTCCAAATCTCTCTCTCTCTCTCTTTTCTTCTTTCTCTTTCCTGTTTTTTTTTTTCTTCACATTTTTCGTCTATCCTCCAATCCATTATTTTCATTCACTTCCTCTCTATCTCGTCCGATCATCTCTCTTCTTTCCCTTTCCTTCAATCATCTCTTACTTTCTTTCATTCTCTCTCCTTTTTCTCCCTTTCTTGTGATCACCTCTTTTTAGATCTCTTTGTCTTGTTTAAGTCGTAAGATTTAAAAAATTTAAATAGCAAACCAATCAAGTTTTTGAGTCTTAAAGAAACTTATTTTCAAGAATGTTCTTAATGACACACCCCGATACTAGAATCAAGACGTGACGGCCATCACACCTTGATTCTAGGATCGGGGTGTGTCACTTAAGAAATGTTTTGAGAAATGATAAAAAATTTCAAATAGGATACCAAACCGGCCCTAAATTTCTTTTTATTTTTGGCTTATAAGACCTTGACACTAAAGTGCATGAGATAGGATCGTGTCAGTGATAGCAAGGTTTGTTCCAACTTGACTAGGATTGTAGCGAGGATATGTCTTGGGAGATTTTCTAGAGTGCTCCGAAGGACTCGATATTTTTAATATTTTTAAATAAAATGTAACAATTAAAATACTTGTAATACATAGTACTTCTTATGTGCTACTATTGAGTGAGAGAAAGGGAGAAAATTATAATTATATATTAAATGACCAAGATAAAAATGAAACCTGAAAAAGTGGAACTCAATAATTATGGAGCTTAATTAAAAATGAACTAGATCAGTAGAGAAATAAATGGGAGTCAACAATGGGCAGTGAGTAACCTTTAACTTTAATTACTCAAGATCAAGAAAAGATGAGGTGGTTTTTTTTAATTGAGGTAGATAGGAGACAAACTATAGGCTTATTGAGCATCTCAAATGAAGAGTTACAAATTTAATATGTAAAACTCATATTTACATCTCCGGAATATATAAATATGAGCTAGAGAGATGAAAATTTAGAATCTCATTTATTTTTGGGAACTTTAACAAAAAATTTCCTGTATTATTCACTTTAACGAAAAACCACATTTTTATACTAAAAAATAAATCCTGATACTATTCACTTTACCCTTTATTTTGTTCTTATCGTTAAAACTCAAAGTTTTTAACCCATTTTATTAATTTTTTTTATTTTTTTATTTTTAACTAACGGAGCCCGCCTCCTAAAGATGTAAAAAAAAGTGTAAATATACATTTTTATTTCATCTTTTGGAGAAGATGGATAATTTAATTCCACCATTAGAAAGCTTTCCAAAATCAATATAAATGCTCATTTCAAGACATTTTGCTTGATGCTCTACTTAACTTAAAAGAAAAGATACTTGTCTACTTACATTAATAAGTCATTAATTCTCATTTGCCAATCTTAGCTTGACATGACGAAAGGTTTGCATAAGAGTGTGTCATGAAACAAAAATATTACTCTTACCATCTAGATGTATCATCATTTGTATTATCTCTTAATAGAGATGAGATTCACACGGGTTGGCGGACCCTATCTCTATTAATAGTACAAATTATAGTATAACTAGATGGTAAGTAGCATTACTCATCGTGAAAATGTCTTTAGAGGCAAGGGGTCAAGGGTTGTTAATTTACAAAGTGATTTTCCTAGTGATGTGTAATTGTCTATCCCCCTCCTATAGAGATTTACATATTTAGGAAGGCCAGAGAGTCGTCCATGTCGTCTTCGGGGTCATACACAGCCTCTAAGCACAACATGCATGCGTAGGAGAGAATTTCGATCCGGTGATTCGAATAGTCCTTCCTCAATTTAAAGTATAAAAAACTTGATATAAACATCCTGTTAAGATCTCCTATTTCTCTCTTTAAAAATCCGCACATCTAATTTGAAGAGCATTTTTGTGCTAGGGTTGTTTTTCCCTTGCTTTTGCAAGGTTTTGGTCTTTCCCTTAGTCAGTTCTGTGCCCTTACATTCTTCGTGTGCGACTGATCCTTACATTTATCGTGCTTTTAACTCTGTGTAATGTGAGTTTAGGTAGATAATATAAAAAAATTCGGGTAAATTTGGACGGCAATAAAGGAATGTAAAAGATGCCATCACACAAGACAAGACAACATTAAGTTTCACTGATATTGTCGACGTTTGGATTAATTAATTTCTATAAAATGTATCTAAGACCGGGTTCTAACATATACAATTAACAGACTTCGTTCCAACCAAAGAAGTGATGTGAGAATTCACTTTTGGCCTTCACTGTTTGGCCTCACATCTTCTTTGCCAACATCTCCAACTTACACAACGTTTATAAATCCCTCTTACCACCAAACAATGAACCTCTCTCCCTCACACAGACACAGACACACACACACACACTCTCTCTCTCTCACACAAACGCCAGCCAAAATGGTAACAAACAATATATGCTTGGTACAGATTAGTATGTGCTTGGTATGGTATGGTAGTCTAGTTTACTGATCAGTTGATTTTTTTCAGGGAACATGGTGCAAAGAGAAAGAGGTGCTGGTGAGCGTGTACGTAGAGAAGCCGAAGAGGCAGCACCACAACAACCACCATCATATTCATCACGCCGTCAAACGAGAGATAATTCATTACAGGCAGGGTGTCGGTGGAAAAGGGTACATAATTAGCAGGAGAGCAGAGCTTCTTCAGTACTCCCAATACCTTCGTCAATCTGCTCGATCAGCACCGCCATCCACACCCTCGTCAATGCCAAACATAACCAGCAGTCAACAGCCTCATACCCACCAGGTACCTTAAATTCCTTGTGTATGAGTGCTAGTGTGTTAATACAACTGTCAACTGTGTTAACTAATACAAAGTTTTAGGAAGGAATTTAGCATTAGGACAACAAATTAATATCATAATATCACCCTTGGACTTTGAGCCGTTGTATTGCCGGACACTCTTCATCGTCCGACGAGTCAAACATCAACGCTTATCATATATTCTTGCTTGGTTCACGCTCCCATTTTCTTTCCCCTACACCCCTATTTTTAACCTTTAAATTGAATAAATCAAAGGAGAATCGAGTGATGAAAATTATTGAAAGTGTACAAACATAGAAAACGAATTGTGGAAATTATTTCCATATTTCTTTCTGCCACTCTCTCTCCTTTTCCTCCTCCATGAGTTTTAGAAAATAAAAATCCATTTGTAGAAACTTGGTGTCACTTGTCAATTGGAAGAGGCCATGGTAAGCAATTAAAAATGTAATATTAGATTGGCTAATAAGGTTGTAGTTGTTAGGTAGTGGGTGTGGGCAGAAAGCCGAAGAATAGTTCAAAAGCTCCAACCTGCTTTGGCAACTGGAAATTACCGAACGTTTTTGGAATTTTCCAAGCTAGGAAAGGGAGGAAGACAAGAAAGATGCCTTGGGGTAATAGTAAAACCACCGCCAGTAAAATAAAAGCTGCCGTGAAAAGCCTAAAGGTAACTGAAATTTTACTTTGCTGTCTTAATTAATTCATTTATTTCTCTCATAGTTCTTTTGTTAATTGGTTTAAAGTAAAAAGTGGGATAAAGCATAAAATCGAACGCAATAACGTTCTAAGATATATATAACAAATCTCGTTTAGTGGGATAAAAATTTATTGTTATTGTTGGTTTAAAGTAAAAAGTAAAAAACTGCAATCCTTGCAGGTGCAAAAGCAGCGGAGCCTTTTTTCCAAAGTTTTCTCAGCACCAACAAGACGAAAGTGAAACTCTAGCAACCCATGTCATTTTTTACAGATACCAATTTGTGATATTTATTGCTGAAGAAAGAGAAAGCTAAATAGAAAAGAAAAAAAAAAGAATAATTGGGAAGCAGGCACTATCATAATCATGTGAAAATGATGTTTGAGAATTACGTATATAGCATATTTCAGCTAATGATAAAACAACCTCTGAATTCCATGCTGCAAAATTGGCTGTTCAAAAGCCGCTGCTCATGTCTTGGGTTGAGAACGTTTCTCGTGTATAGCCAAGCCAACACAGCAAGTGTGGTGCTTAAAAATTAAAAGCTACTGCCTATTGGGATGATCTCTGCTGTCGAGGATCTCCCACAAAGCAATGGCACAGCTGACATGAACATTTAGAGATCTCAATGCAGGCATCCAGAATTTGGATGACATCGACCGGTATACCTTCCCTTTCATCCACCCAAGGACCAGTACCTATTCCATGGGTTGGATGAAAAATGAGTAAAGCTACAATGTCAGCTGCACTTTCCCAAATCCAATCACCATTGCTAAATTGAAAATTAAAGACTGGATTCACAAAGTAACGCACTGTCGTTTTAAGAAAGCTATAAGAATACAAAACATGGACATGCAAAACCTAATTGGGAATAAATACAGAGATTTAAAAAATTGCTAACTTACTACATTCTCTTAAAATGAGATTACGTCGTTGTTATTATTGATATTGTTGATACTTGGACCTTATAGCCCTCAAGATGTTGTCGATAAACATATATTCTTCACAAGTCTTCTATATATATCATATAAACATATATAAATGATAAGTGGATAATTCTAAAAAAATAAAATAAACATAAGTTTCGATCATTGGACCACATCTCAAGATTGATCAACGACAATGCTTACTAAAAAAATAAACCAATGTTCCAAAGAAATCAGCAGTTTATTGTTCACCGGAAATCCTATGTTCTCTTCCCAAAGTCCAAATTTTGGTACGGCCCAAAACTCCCAAATTCACATACTCGCTCACTCACGGAGTAACACCGAATAAACATAACTCATATATCTCCGGACCTCTTTCACTTCCACGCAGTCACAACAGACTCACAATGAATCATGCTTTGGTCATTTTTTCACCACTCTAAGTACCAACCCCAACCCAACTTCTGTTTCCTTATCTGCTTCATCTGTTTGGTTACCTGGAAAATGTAGAGAAAATGAGAAGGAAAACTGAAATGAGTTGGATTGATCAGTGTCTTAGTAGTACAACTAATTTTCTTACTTAGATTTTCCTTGTTTGATCAATATCCTATAACCCATTAAACGAATAATTAAGTTTTCAAACTCTGTAGTGATGGAGCTTCTCAATCTTGAACCTTTTCTTTTTCAGGCTTGATCAAAATGGCAGTGGCTGATCAGGGTTTTTTGCTCTTCTACTTCAATGGTCGACTCGGGTTTGGACTCGAAGCATTTGTATTGGAAGGTCACCAATCCCACACTTTCTCCTTCCCATCTTCAAGGTTGGTATATAAAGATTCTGCATTTTAGTTGGGATTGTATTTGGGTAATTGTGATGGTGGATTTTATTAGTTGTGATTAGTTTGGAGATAATCCGAAGCATGGAGCATTGTTCAGATAGTGAATTTTAGGATACACAAATCAAGAAACAGCTTCTGTAGGAAGCAAATGGAACAGCAAACTGAAATGTATAAAAAATGACGAATAAAAACATACAATGCTTCTGATAACCAAAAAAAAGGTCGTACCCACTGCACAAGGCTCCCGCTTTACGCAGGGTCTGGGAGAGGTGAATGTCGGCTAGCCTTACCCCCAAGCTTTAAGAAACTTTTGCTCTTCATGCAAGCAATTAGTTTGCATTTACTACTGTACATTAAAGCCAATTTGTAAAATGTGGATAGCTGGATGGCTAGTTCTTATCGTTCTTTGTTTCTTTTTGAAGTTTTCCATTTCATTTCCGTTTTCAATTGTATTGTGCAGTTGGATTATGTCTGTCTCCTTTAGCCTGTTTCTTGCAGGGTTAATTGCTTTTTACAAAGAAATTGCAAGGTAAGGAATAGATCATGCAGTTCAGTGGATGCTTTGCGACTATCGAAGTGGCATGTGGTTTCTTATAGTCTGTTGGATACAGGGTAGGAAAATGATAATTAGCAATCAAACAGAGCTGAAGTTGTTGTAAATTTTATCGTTCTTGTGTTTGTGATTCAGTTGGAGCTACATAAGACGTTAAGATTCATTCTGTTTTCTATTTTGTTTATTGATTATTTAACATCCAAAATGCCGCTAATGGAAGTTTAACGATTAGCTGAGGTTTATTTGGGCTCTTTCTTCTAAGACTTGCCAGGATTCACACGCAGTGTTTACAAATGAGACCATGCTTTAATAACACCAGAAAGTCACGTATCCTTTACCTGAGTGGTACTTTTGACTCTGCATTATGATATATTGTTAGAAAGGTTCCTCTTCTCTGGTGCTGTAATGTAGATTTTCTCTAACAGGACCATGACATTGGGAACCTATTTGATAACGCCGGTGATGGGTTCACACTTTGTAATAGGTTCCCACAAATTAACGGTAAGAAGGCTCTTCAGTGTGAGACTGCTGGTTTTGATGGATAATAAATTCAAATTACTCATTATTAATTTAGCACATTTGTACTATTTGTGTATTTTCTATGCATACATTATTTTAAGTTCCCTAGTTTTTAGGAGTAATTTTGTTTTGATCTATGACCTTCATGATATGTAAACTTGGGTAATTGGTTTTGGTGTTGGGATTTTTAAGGCCACTGTAAACTGCTAGAAGTCTGATATATAATTGAATTGTGTGAAAGAGAGCATATCAGTTTATACAAGACCAATTATAATTACAATAGAAACTAGGGAGAAATGTTTAATATACTTATTTTTATAGATAAGGTGAACGATACGAGTATGCATGTACTGCATCGAGCAAGGACTCTGGACTACCTGATAGAATTGCTGCTTTGCTTCCAGTGCTTTTTTATTTCTTTCTATACATGCTTCCAGTGCTTTTAGTTATGATGTTCCAAGTATTTACTTCTCTAATTATCTGTTATGTGGTGGTGTTCTTGTGAACTTAAGTTGAAAGGAAGTCTGATTTGGTTCATATATGAAACACAGGTGGACTCATATGCTTATCTACCTTCTAATGTTGATCAGTCCCTCAGGTGTGATGCATCTGCCGCTCTTGTGGTATTCAAGAGAAGGTTGTCTCCTTAATATATTATGATTCCCTGAATTTCCTGTCTCTCATTCTTTTAGATCTTTTGTTGTCATCATGGCACGCTTAGCATCACAGTGCACTCAAAATTACCGTCCGCACTATTTCAGATGTAGTTAAAGACTTTGTTCAAGACAGTTTCTTGATAATGAAACACTGGTGAAAGTGAAACCAATGATATTTTTCCTTAGGAGTGAGAGATTTTAGTCCTCTTCAAGTGGCTAAAGTGCTCTCTGATGCTTCTATATAGGCATGTTTCTCTGGAAAATCAATCTACTGAGCTGATTTTTGGTTCAACAGATGAGCAGCCACTCCTGGAAACTCCAGGTGAGGTAAGTAGTGACTTCGTACAAGGTTTATTTATATTTGGTATACCATAACCACCTAGGAAAGTTGTCGTGGTTGTCTAAGAGTCAATTCTTGAACCATTTTGATGAGGAACATCTCTCCCCCAGATGTATCTTTCTTTGTTCTTCCTTACTGTTTAACTTTTAGTTTGGTTTGGTCTCGATGATGGATTGAAGATTTTCTAGTCCCTTTTTTTACTTTTTCTTTATTCATTATCAGGTCTTCCAACTAAGGAAGCTTATTCCAGCATCTATATCCTATGACTTCAATATCCATGTAAGTAATCGTTTATTTATCTGTGTCCAATCTTTGTATTCATGCTCGCGGCTGTCTCTGATAGTATTCACCATTTTTTTGACACTGCCTGCAGATTATGGACTTTCAGCCTGGGGAGTATCTTAATGTGAAGGTATTAGTCTCTTCCTTGCTGGTTGAGCCTATCTTTTTGAGTTCCATGGTTTGCATTCTGAAACTTTAATTTGGGTTTTAAGTTGATTGGAATTAGTTTTAGTTGAGGTGTGGAGACCCTTGTGACTTTGGTTTGGTCACTCCATGAAAGAAACTTAAAAGTTATTGAAGCTTAAGGCCATATTCATTGTTCCCTTTCTGGTACAATTATCTGTTAAGGCTATCCTCTTAATTAGCTGCTATCGACTAATGAGGCTATTCTCAATGTCCAGAGATTCTTTTGTGATGATGTATCCATCACCCATTAGTATTGGAGTGTTTAGCTAATAAGCATGATTCCATTCTTGTTGCTTGTCTCAACTGATCGAGAGACTCCAATTGCCCACTTAGTGAGGAAGCTTTTGTTGTTTTTGAACAGTCATTCAATTGATTTGTGGATCACTACATAGGCTTTGGAAAGCTTTGTTATGTACTCGTCGAATTTGTTGTGCTTGAAAAGTCTTTCCTCTCAAACATTGGTTGTCTATTATGCTACGTGTTTGTGGTTTATTTATTTTGCAGGAGGTCCATGACAATCAGCATGGTTTGTTGCTTCTGGAGGGGCAGGATATTTACCGTTTGGGTGATAGCTGGTACGAGTTCCATTCACTGTTGAGACTGCATAAGATTTGACATCGATTGCTTGCTTGTGAGTTATATAGGACATGGTTATAGTATAGTATTTGTTAATTGTTATTCATATGCTAGTTGTGCACTAGAGTCTCTTACCATGCCGATGTCAAATGGAATCATGGAGTCTTAAGTATAAATCATTGCAGAAATTGCTCTTTTTGCTGGTATGTAGTGTAGATTAACTAAAAGATTACACTGTTAAGATGACACATCCCTCACAATAATACCCTTCAACTCTGCAGGCAGAATAGTTGCCCATAATATCATTCATAGATTCTACTTCTTATGCATGAAATCAGTCCTTCAAAACAAGATGACGGCATTTAAGTTTTTACCCATTACCAATCACAATTCGGAGATATCATGTCTTTCTCTGCTAGTGAGTCTAGAAATTAAATGATAGCGTTCTACCTACTGTTCTGAGCCCCACATTGTTTTTCATTGAATCTTTTGTTGATTATTCTGGAAATAGGTACCCTGTTCAAGCAGGCGATGTCATTTGGATGGCACCATTTGTGCCTCAATGATAAGTGATGAAAGGAATGCATAATTCTAACTCTCCATTTGATATTACAAGGATTGTGTTTTCCTATCTCCACATTTTAGTATTGCCAAATCAAATACATTTCTCTTGCAAATTTGCAACTTCTACAGGTATGCGGCATTAGGTGAATGCCGGACGCGATATTTGCTGTACAAAGATGTAAATAGGAATCCACTCTAGTTTCACTTGTATCGTTAAGATGTCGATGACACTGTTAAAAAGGAACTCTCTACCATTCCTGGTGACGAACCCTTGAAGTCATACAGATACTGGGGAAGAGGTTGGCCTAGAAGCTTCCTCTCCGACTTGTGCTATCCATTCTAGTGCACCTAGGACTTTGTTGACTGAAGCTTTCAAACTCCTAGTGAGTGTAAACGGTGAATGCTCTTACTCAACTAAACTAGAAGCCCTTGAACCTTACACATGGATAACAGTAATTTTATATGCATAAGTTATGACAAAACCAGAAACTTTCGGGTGGGCAGTCGTATACTCTTTTCACGATTCCATGTTACATAGATAATAGATTCTCTCATTCACGAAAGAAGCTTTCGGATACTAGACAGTCTAGACTCTAGTCATGTCGTGAGAGAAATAGAGGATTATCATATACTCCTTTCATGAAAGAAACGTCTATGTAAGAACGGAATGGTTCCATTGGGATTGAAGTGTTTTATAAAAGTGCAAACCACGCTTGAACTCGACCAATACTGTTTGGTTCTGTTTTAAGATGGTTTGCAGAAGGAGGGGTATGCAACACGATGACTTCCCAGGAGCAGACCTGTAAACAGGTCGGGTTTATTGGATTTGCGTCAGATTCAACTAGGCCTGGCAAACGGGTCGTGTCGTTTTCGTGTAACACATGTTATCTTAACGGATCGTGTCGTGTCACACCTGTTATCTTAACGGGTCCTTAACAGGTCGGGTCACTTTACCCAACAGGTAAAGTGACCCGACCCGTTATAACCCGTTAAGAAAAATATCTTTTTTCTTAAATTTGCATATACCACACATTGTCACATAAATATTACTTCAAAACATTAAAACACATTTGTCGTTTAAGTACTACATCTACACTCGAAAATAAGAGTCTCATAAAAAATACATCCATACACTACTAATCTATTACAAATATTAAATGTGCAAGGATATGCAAAATGAAAGCGTTTTTGTTTTCAAGGTTGTGAAGACTTTCTCAAAAGTTTAAACCCTACCAATGGAACTCAAAGCTTAATGAAAGTGACCCCCTAGTGTGTTTATTCGTACTTTCATTAAGTATAACATAAGATTTTGTGGTATCCACTAGTGTAAATATTTTAAATTGAAGATCAAATTCATTCATTGTATTCATATAGGATCAAGGAGTGTAGTTGTAAAAAAATCATCAAAATCGGGGTTACAATAACCGTTAAATTGTGATTTTTCGTTTATAACCGTCGAAAAGTTTTGTCCCGTTACTTAATCTTTAAATGTTTGTTTTTTGCAATTTTTGGCGTATGCGATCTCGAAGCATATACAAACAAGTTTGACGGTTGGATCGTTGAAACTAGTTTCGTAGAATGCGTATCCCATCAAAACAATAGATTCACTAACACTTAAGAGTTTATTCTTACTTTCATTAAGTATAACATAATATTTTGTGGTATCCACTAGTGTAAATATTTTAAATTGAAGATCCAATTCATTCATTGTATTCATATAGGATCAAGGAGTGTAGTTGTAAAAAAATCATCAAAATCGGAGTTAAAATAACCGTTAAATTGTGATTTTTCGTTTATAACCGTCGAAAAGTTTTGTCCCGTTACTTAATTTTTAAATGTTTGTTTTTTGCAATTTTTGGCGTATGCGATCTCGAAGCATATACAAACAAGTTTGACGGTTGGATCGTTGAAACTAGTTTCGTAGAATGCGTATCCCATCAAAACAATAGATTCCCTGACACTTAAGAGTTTATTCTTACTTTTATTAAGTATAACATAATATTTTGTGGTATCCACTAGTGTAAATATTTTAAATTGAAGATCGAATTCATTCATTGTATTCATATAGGGTCAAGGAGTGTAGCTGTAAAAAATCATCAAAATCGGAGTTAAAATAACCGTTAAATCGTGATTTTTCGTTTATAACTGTCGAAAAGTTTTATCTCATTACTTGATATCTGAATGTTTGTTTTTTGCAATTTTTGGCATATGCAATCTCGAAGTATATACAAACATGTTTGACGGTTGGATCGTTGAAACTAGTTTCGTAGAATGCGTATCCCATCAAAACAATAAATTCACTAACACTTACAAGTTTATTCATACTTTCATCAAGTATAACATAAGATTTTGTGGTATCCACTAGTGTAAATATTTTAAATTGAAGATCGAATTCATTCATTGTATTTATATAGGGTCAAGCAGTGTAGCTGTAAAAAATCATCAAAATCGGAGTTAAAATAACCGTTAAATCGTGATTTTTCGTTTATAACCGTCGAAAAGTTTTGTCCCGTTACTTGATCTCTGAATGTTTGTTTTTTACAATTTTTGGAATATGCGATCTCGAAGCATATACAAACAAGTCTGACAGTTGGATCGTTGAAACTAGTTTCGTAAAATGTGTATCTCATCAAAACAATATATTCACTAACACTTAAAGAGTTTATTAATATTTTCATTAAGTAAAACATAAAATTTTGTGGTATCCACTAGTATAAATATTTTAAATTGAAGATCGAATTCATTCATTGTATTCATATAGGGTCAAGGAGTGTAGCTGTAAAAAATTATCAAAATCGGAGTTAAAATAACCGTTAAATCGTGATTTTCCTTTAATAACCATCGAAATTTTTTGTCCCGTTACTTGATCTCTGAATGTTTATTTTTTTGCAATTTTTGGCGTATGCGATCTTGAAGTATATACAACCATGTTTGACAGTTGGATTGTTGAAACTAGTTTCGTATAATGCGTATCCCATCAAAACAATAGATTCACTAATACTTAAGAGTTTAATCATACTTTCATCAAGTATAACATAAGATCACTAGTGTAAATATTTTAAATTGAAGATCGAATTCATTCATTGTATTCATATAGGGTCAAGGAGTGTAGATGTAAAAAATCATCAAAATCGGAGTTAAAATAACCGTTAAATCGTGATTTTTCGTTTATAACCGTCGAAAGTTTTTGTCCCGTTACTTGATCTCTGAATGTTTGTTTTTGGCAATATTTGGCGTATGCGATCTCGAAGCATATACAAACAAGTTTGACGGTTTGATCGTTGAAACTCTTTTCGCAAAATGCGTATCTCATCAAAACAATAGATTCACTAACACTTAAGAGTTTATTCATATTTTCATTAAGTATAACTAGTGTAAATATTTTAAATTGAAGATCGAATTCATTCATTGTATTCATATAGGGTCAAGGAGTGTAGCTGTAAAAAATTATCAAAATTGGAGTTAAAATAACCATTAAATCGTGATTTTTCGTTTATAACCGTCGAAAAGTTTTGTCTCGTTACTTGATCTCTGAATGTTTTTTTTTGCAATTTTTGGTGTATGCGATCTCGAAGTATATACAAACATGTTTGACGGTTGGATCGTTGAAACTAGTTTCGTAGAATGCGTATCCCAAATAGATTCACTAACACTTAAGAGTTTATTCATACTTTCATTAAGTATAACATAAGATTTTGTGGTATCCCCTAGTGTAAATATTTTAAATTGTTGATCGAATTCATTCATTGTATTCATATAGGGTCAAGGAGTGTAGCTGTAAAAAATCATCAAAATCGGAGTTAAAATAACCATTAAATCGTGATTTTTTGTTTATAACCGTCGAAACGTTTTGTCTCGTTACTTGATCTGTGAATGTTTGTTTTTTGTAATTTTGTGCTGATGTGATCTCGAAGCATATACAAATAAGTTTGACGGTTGGATCGCTGAAATTAGTTTCGTATAATTTATATCCCATGAAGTTCAATGGTGTGTGTGTGTATATATATATTTATTTATTTATTAAGTAGATTTAAATCTATTTATTTTGTATGTATAATTATTATAGTTTTTAGGGGTATAAAATTCAATTTAAAATTATATATATATATATATATATATATATATATATATATATAACTATTATAGTTAATATTTTGGGGGTATAATTATTATAGTATATATAATTATTATAATTATTATAGTTAATTTAATATATATATATATATATATATAATTATTATAGTTTTTAGGGGTATAAAATTGTTAAATTAATATATATAATTATTATAGTATTTTTTAGGGTTAGAAAATTATTAAATTAATATTCTGCTTATCGTGTATCGTGTTACCCACGTGTATACCCGAACCAACCCGTTATCTTAACAGGTGCTTATCCGTTTACCCGATAACGACCCGTTTCGTTATCGTGTTGACCCGAACACCTGTTAATTTCGTGTCGTGTCGTGTCGGGTTATTGGGTCGTGTCAGGAATTGCCAGGCCTAGATTCAACCCGACCAGTTAAGTTAACGGGTCACCCGAACCTAACCCATTAAGCTAACGGGTCATCCTAACCCGACCCGTTAAGTTAATGGGTCACCCGTTTCACCCATTAAGAATTATTATTAATTTTTTTTTTTGCATAGAGTTTATATTTTGTTGTTAAGACTTTATTGAAATTACTAAAATATCCTCAACTAAGGGCTGTTAACGGATCTAACGAGTTGACCCAAAGTGACTCGTTATTTAACGGGTTGTTAACGGATTCACCCGTTAGCGACCCGACCCGTTAAGCATTCACCCAAATACTAATATTAACGGATCGGGTCCAAAATGCCAGGTCTACCCAGGATGTCACACATTCTAGTACTATTCTAGCTCAAATTCGATTAGCTTCGGAGTTTTGATGGGATTTGTTTTAACATTCCTTGGTTTATTGATGATCAAAACGAAATCAAGCAGCCCTCTACAATTTGGATCGGCCGTTTTGGAAAATTCGACCAGTTTGATGCCTAAGATTTTATCATTTTTCTTGTGATTCGAATCTTGTCATAAATTTGAAATGTGCGACTCCAAATCTAAGGATTACAATAAGTGTAATTAACTGTTTGAGAAGATAAAAAGTACTTGAATATCAAATGACAACTGTATTCAAGTCACTTCAGATTCAACATATTATTACATTGTTTGTACTTTGCAGTCCTTTTAAATTTATTGCATTTTTTGTCCTATAACTTGTAAGTAAAATATATTAGGTACGATTTATTTTTCATTCTCTTAGTATAATTTGTAAGTGTTGCCACCCCACGACTATGGTTTTGTTGTCATAATATTTTCTT